GTCCAATAACATATAATTTCTAAACTTATACATACAAATTAAACACTATGGTGCATATACATAGTGTCCTGGTGATTAATATCATTGAATAATAAAACATGTGAAATTGTAATTGATTTCATGAGAGTTTAAACCATTCAATAAAAAGAATCTAATCGGTTAATCAATGCAGTGGGTCTCATTCATTCTCTGATTTTATTCAAAAATACGTTTACTCATATTATATATATATATTACTTATATTAATTCTATGGAACGAACTAGCTAAATGTTTAGTGAGATCATTATGAAAAAGAGATATGCTCATATAAATTCATCATTCTTTTGATTACCTTCAGAACTCATTGTTTTCATTCAAACGATAACATTGATTGGTCTTTCTATTTTCTTTTTAATCTCTACTCTCATCAGTAATTTCGATTCATTCATGAGAACTATGGATAGTATTTCATACTGAATAGATTTTAAAATCTACAGAGTTTCTGATTGCATTCCTCTGAAGAGTATAAGTTCTATTTATGTAGTGAAGAAATCCGGATGTTTCGACTTAGGTGTAACGTGTTTCAGACACAGGATTTCTTCGAATTCAATACCTGTAACTTACTTATCTCGTTAGATTGTTTAGCTATCGCATTTTCATCATTTTTAAACTATTTGGTGAATTTAAATTATAACTGGCTTATGACTAGTAAATGGTATCGTCAAAATGAACATTTTCTTCTTTGAAACATTTTTTGATTTTATTGATCTCTCTGTCTTCACAACTATATCAGTACTAATCAATAATTTCTTCAGTATACTTAAGCTACATAGTAAAGCACACATACTGTGTACATAGTCTTTTTGAAGGTTGAACATTGCTTGCATTGTGGTCTTACAAAGTGTCTATCGAAAATTTCTATGAACATTGCGTTTATGTTCATGGACTGCTTTCAGAATAAGTATGTTCAAATGAACAGTCATATAATATGACTGTAAGTCATTCCATTTTTTACCATCTTATAAAAGCACTAATACTTTTATTAACACTTACAGGTTACTAATATGATCCACTATGTTCGAAATTATTACTATTGTAATACAACACCTTTTGATCCAACACAGGATGATTGATTTTTAAAAAGGTTTTAAAGCATTTTATTACAATGTTTCAGCAGTCAGAAATTTAAATTTAATTTTGTTAGTTTTCACTAATATGATAATGTTTGTTTTATTTTATAACATCTGAAACTTGGTTTAAATAATCTAAAACTTTTATTGCAAATGTTGAAAGTGCTTACTAATAGTGTAATTATTTTCTATTCGGTTTCTCAGCCAAAATAGTTTGTATCAGTGAGCATAAACTCACGAATCCTTAGTCGATTTATAGATTAAGAGAATAGCCTTCTAAATGATAGATTATTTTTTTTTTAAATTCACAGTCAACTTCTTTTTGTTAACTTGTCAGCCATAATTTAAGCATAGAAAGGATAGATTTATTGCACACTGATTAATCATTGTAATCGTAACATAATACTTCTTAAGTTACGAAGCGACTATTGGAATTAATCAGAAAACATTACGTACATGTTTATGTATGCGACGAAATATCTATATAAAGTTCTTTTTGAAGTTATTCCCCCTCAACAACTCCTTCAAAACTTCGGAACAGTGTACCATCTTTTAGTTTTAGTTTTGATATCTGTAGTCGTGGGTTTCATCGTAGGTTTATCCGTGAGAGCTATATCTTCAGGTCAGAATATTATGATTTAGATTTCCGATTTCAGTTACTTCACTATATATAGTGACGGTTATCTAACACTATCGTTACGTGATTAATTAGTGTCTGACATAGTTGGACTTCCCCAGTCACAAACTCCAGTTAATATACGGATTATCGACTACTACCACGATAAGGTTCAGAAATATGTTTGTTTTGATGCTAATCGAATCCTGAAAAACTAATTACTGACATTTGCGACAGATACTGGTTACTACAAGTTAGAATTTCTCGTTAAGCAAGAATTTCCTCAAGGTTGTTGAAATACTTTCTTACTATCGACCAGTGTCAAACACGGGACTCACATTTAGGGCTTCCTGTTTATTAAATAAAGTTTGAGAAAGTTGGAGTTTGCACGCTTTATTGTTAGCGTAACTAACAAAATAATAGGATTATTAGATAAAATGTTATCGATATAGACAAGCGAAAAACATTCTTCAAGTCTTAATCGCTGAATAATAAGAATTCCATTCACATACTGTACAAAATATCTTTCCATAATTCGGGTTATTTTTTATTTTATTAGAGTTGTTTGATTGTTATTTGAAGTCGATTTAACCGCGTTTGACCTACTGTTTCGAATGTTGAATTATTGGCAAAAAACTTTTGTCAGTGTATTTTTTGATCATTCTTACTACCTACTAACAGTACACTTGTCTTTCCTCAATCAACTTGTACTTCTACGAACTTTGTGTAGTTACTTAATCTTTTTCATTTCATTGCGATTATTGACCCATAGATTACCTTGATTGGTTTAAAATTTGATATAAATGTTCATGTGAATTAGAGTAAAGCCTAATGACAATCTAAAATTGAAAACAATTTTGTTCTCTTTTATGTGTTATTCGAATATTCACTGTTTGTTTCACATTTCATCTTTTCTCAATATCTATGGATTTCCACTACTGAAATTTTCCGTGTACATGTGCACACGTTAAATAACAACGTATCTCATGTTTCACAGCCTTACGTAACATTAAAACAATTGTGGTTTAGATAAATTTTTATAGTTGCCTCGCATAAGTGAATAGTTTTTCGCTGCTACCTTGTTTACACACCTTAAGCCTGTCGCTCAAAACTGTTAGTAATTTTAAACATGGTATAATCCGTCAGTACTGTTTCAAGATGGATATAATTTTTTCAGCGATTACATTTTCAATAAAAATGAGCTATATCAGTCAAAACTATAACTATTTTAGATTCAAATTCAAACTTTGGTAAAACCAGAGATAATTTGTTTAGCAGCATGCCACATTTTCATAACTCTTAAAACAATCGCCTCAATATTAATATTAATAATCATACCCTGAATGTTAATCGTTAGGGGTAAGGAAAAATACCAGTCGTTTTAATATCAACCGTGATTTCGCAACTAAAGGATCGCTTACGCAGTTTTGTCACATTAATATGTTTCTACGAATTCCGCTGTTTCTGTATTGGGTGTACAGCCAAACAACTAGGCCAGTGATTTAGTAAGCACTTCTCTTTGTGATTGGGCAAGGGTATGAAAAGAAAATGAACAGGTCTGTTCTATCACACTTGGTAGATAGTGATCATATAGTAGACAGAACCAAATCATTCATGGTAATCTATCTCATAGCTCCTACTTTTCTAGTGGAGTTCTATTTTATTTTCTATGTACACTAAAATCTGATCAAATTTGAGCTAAATACCCAAGTCTCTATGAGAATAAGAAATTTATGACACTCTCATCTCCCCCTTAAATGAATTAGGCTTGACAAACGATGTTAATTATTGTTGTCGTTTCCCATATCCTTGTTTTTGCATATTTCTGTATTCCTTTTCGTTTTTAGTCTTCATTATTTAACTAGCATAACACATTTTTTAAATGTAATTTTGATGGTTTTTAATTAATGTTAATTTAAATGTTTATTTTTCCAGGTCGCTAACCCACCCTGCTATTATGAAACACTGATTCAAGTCTTTATTTTTCTAACCTCTACTAGTACACTTGTTGTCACACTATCAGTTTGTAATCTATATTTACTATGTTAATTTATACAATCTATTCCCTTGTTATCACTGACTCATGAGTTGCCACATATCCATTACCTACTCAAGATACTGTAGATCTGTTAGCCAGACACCATTATCAACAACCTACTACTGTGACAGAGAACAAACAATTATCTAGCTGGGCTAAATAGGACACACGTGGAAATCTCCTAAATGCGTAACGAGGCAAGTTGAACTTGGAACCCTGAAGGCCAAGGGAAAAGAGGCAGACCAAGCCACACATTGCACCGACAATTGGAGACAGACATTAAAAAGAATGAACAGCACTTGTGGAACAACCGGAAAGCATAGTTCAGACAAGGATAGGTTGGATATTGTTGATGGGTTGCCTATGATCAGTTTTACTGTATATTAGAGTAAAATTTGAAAAAGATCTAATTAAAAACAGTTTTGTTGACTTATATATATGTTGTTCAAATTTTCAATATCATAAAAATACTTACAAATATTCGTGAATATTTGTTGCTGAACAATCTCATATTTAGATAAAACATATTTTTTATTGCCACCTTTCGGTCTTACTCTTTTCTAATTGACATTATTAGTCATTCAATAAAATCATATTTATGGTAAATTTATTTTACGAATTGGTAAATCAATAAATGATCGATATTATTACTAACATGGAATACAATCTGTATAATAATAATAATCATTAAAAACAATTAGAAAATGTCTTGTTTGAATGAATGGAATGTTGAACAGTTGAATAATATAATATAAAAAGGGTTAAACATTGATAACTACAATATACACTGTATACATTGACAGAAGTAAACAAAGAAAAAACAACAACAACAACTTCTAAACACATCATTTGTACATAACTGTCAATAAGTTGATACCTGATTAAAACGCTGTGATATTTGAAACAATTCGAAAGAAAAAAGCGTATAACTAAATGCTTGAAATTTATCAACACAATTGTGACAGATAGAAATTCAAAAAATGGACATCTCACAATTATATTTGTTACGTTAGATGTTAATACATAGAATTTCTTGTCTAAAATTACCTAATATTAATCAACTGTTCTCATAAATCAACAACATGTGGACGACTTGTTTTAAAGCAAAATAAAATTCAGGAAAAAAAAATTATATTGAGAGAAGATTTTACTCAAATTTCTTGCATTTTATTTTTCGTACATTGATCTGCTAACATTCTGTCTTGTATATTTATATATATATATTTTTTTTTCACATTAATTATAGAATGGATGATGATTTGAATTTGAAATTGGATGAATTTCATTCAAATGATTTGTTTCATGAATAGTTTGTGGTAGAACATACTGCGTGAACATTGAATTTCGATCATTTCCATGGTGAATTTGTTTATTATTTACATTACTCGTTGTTGATGATGATGATGAGACCGATGCTATGCGTAAAGTATCTGTTACAACAGGGAATTTATTCAAATCTGTATATCGTTCAGATAATGATGTTGGATTGGTTATTGTCCCAGTTGACATTGAATTTTTCGACATAATATGCATTAAATTTCTTGGTTCATTCAAATTTGTTGCATAACAGACATTTGTATTGATTTTTACAGCCGCAGCTGCAGCCATCATCGCTGCAGTTGGCAGAAATGAGAAATTATTGGTACTATTAGACATGATCGGTATAGATTCATTGATCTGGTGTTGATATGACTGTGGTTGTGTTTGACGATAGGAATGAGAATGAATCAATGATTTGTTAAGCGATAATGGTTCTTCGAATGTGAAATTCTGTCCATTCACTTTACAGTGATTACTATGATCAAAAAATAATTCGTTCGATTGTGATGAATTCATTAAATGGAAGTAATCATACTTTTTTGTAGATAATGAATTCAACATTGAAGGTACTGTGGATACAGATGTCAATGGGATCGATGATGACGATGATGATGAAAAATTAAGATTTGTATTCATACAATCTATAGATTCATTGGTTTCGTTTGTATCAAAATATGTTTCATTTTTTAAAATAAAAGGATGAATCAAGTTATCAAAATGTGGATTGTCAGTTAGTTCTGAATGATGTATATTACATATATTAGTAGTATGATGTCCAGTATTGATTACTTGTGGCAAAAATGATTTATGGTCACTTTTGAATGATGTTTTCATGTAATCTTTGGTATTTTTCAATGTTTTCAACGAACTGTTTATATCATCAAGTAGAAATTGTTTTGAATTTAATTTAGTCTCATTATTCATAGGTGTATTCATTTTTCTTGAAGTTAAATCATCTAAGTACTGATGTGAAACCAAAGATTTGTTTATAGATGGCCAATTGGACATACTTGTCATTGTCGGTACTGATGTTGTTCCTATCGATGATAATGTCGTTGATGAAATCAGCGTCGTTTCAAGACAACTACTATGAGTGACAGTGTTTTCATTAGTGGATGACACATCCAATGATCGTAAAGTAGGATTTTGCAATTGATTTGAATAACTGAATAATGGATTGATTGTTTCCTTAGATAAAAATGAATTCGATGCAGTGAAAGTAGGATAAGTAGTAGAATCTTTTTTTGAGCTAAAACCAAGTAGATTTTGTGAATTAATTCCATGAATAACTGAAGAATAAGTATTCAACATGTTGGATGCAGCAAAAGCTGCTGCACTGAAATTTGTTGATTGTAGATTATTACTATTATCATTATTATTATTATTATTATTATTGAAATCAATATTATTGAAATTAGTTATCCATGAGGAATTCGGTAAACCTACTGGAAATCCCGTCTGTAAATTTGTTTCATTCTGTGATAAACAGTATGAAGTAGAATAGGGTGACTCAATATTATTATTACTACTATTATTATTACCATTGCTCATAGACTTAAACGGGCATGTACTCGGTAAGCCAACATGATAATTATGACATTCATCGGTATCATTTCGATTATCATTTGTAAAATTAGCGAAAGTTTGATTTAAAGTATTTGAATTCGTTCTATTTGTTAAATTTGGTAATACATTATTGTCATATGATAAATTAGATATAAATGAATAAGGATTACATGAATTATTTGTAGCGGAATTTTGAAAACAAGTTACTTGTGGTTGTGAAAATGTTAAAATTGTATTTGCCAGCTGATTTTGTCGTACAGGCGGGAAACTATGTTCAGTTGTTCCATATAATGATTGGGCAACAAATCCATTCGGTGAATGTCCAACTCCAGAACGAATTAAAGGTGCAAAAGGATTAGGAATTGTTCCACGAAGGACCACATCTAAATGTCTTTCACGTTTTCTCCATTTAGCTCGACGATTTTTAAACCATACCTTTAGTGAGAGATTTGAAATTGAATAAGAATGATTTAATTCAGCATAGAATTCTATAATATGTCATAGAATATGTAAAAAAACAATTTATTTTTCACAGAAAGTATTTAAGATTGTAAAATTGATATTTCTCCATTCAAAAATGTATAAACTTGTGGCATTTCATCATTCATTCATTGTACCTTCGTTTAAATTATTTGTAATAATTCGATAACAGTATCGATTGTTGTATATTTGATTGTGTGTGGATGCTTACTCGCTTATTACATGTTTAACCTATTATTGCTTGACTATAAATACTTAGTCATTGCTTCAGCTCATGGAGAGTTGGCTCACTTGCCTTCTCCAATTCGCTTCGTTTTGCTTGTACGCTTCCCTTCTCATATTTGTCCGCATCGGCGGCTGACTACTCGACTTTAATGTGGACGAATGATCGAGTATGCAATGAAATATATCTTCCTCTCCACTTCCGTATATTATACTTAGGCTAACTCCGTTTGTGCGACGGCGGTAGTAAGAAGCCAAATACAGTGTTGCGGATGAATTTATTTCATGCATTCCTTTATACAGACAAACACGGGAAGGGAAGCGTACAAACAAAGCAAAACGAAGCGAATCGGCGGAGAAGGCAAGTGAGCCAACTCTCCATGAGCTGAAGCAATGACTAAGTATTTATAGTCAAGCAATAATAGGTTAAACATGTAATAAGCGAGTAAGCATCCACACACAATCAAATATACAACAATCGTTACTGTTATCGAATTATTACAAATACAAAATTATCGAATAATTTAAACGAAGGTACGATGAATGAATGATGAGATGCCACAAAATGACCCATTCAGAATAAAATCAAATCTAATGCATACTTAGCTTGATACTTTAAATATACAAAATTAAAATTGTGCCATGTAGTAATATAGTTGTCAACTATAATTTTATATTAGTTTATATTGATTTCTTGGCCTAGTAGAAGAATTTACAAAGTCGATGAAGTCAGCATTTATAACTAGTTTGATGAATATAATCCATTCGGTTTTTGAATTATTCAGTATTTGTAGTTGTTAATGTCTTTTATGAGTTTTTGTAGACCTACTGCCAAAAAATTGATCAATACTGAAATGACTATAAAGTTCCCAAAATTGAGTTGTGTAACTGTAATAGTTAGTATTTGAAATAGTAAATTTATATTAACATTCACTTTGACTACTAAACAACTAGGAAGAAGTTCCGGTTACTTATGAGACTGTAGATTCCAGTCTTAATTGACTTAATGAAATAGTTATAAAATAAGGTGAGATATAAAATCCTGAAAATCTAGTGTTTCATCATGAATGGATACTGTTGACAAATTTCAAGCTAGGTCAAAACACAGGTATATAGTACTCGCCAAATAGTTCAATAGTTTATATTGAATGTTGACTATTCTAAAAATTCAAAAGGAACATTTTATCTATTATTTTTATCCAAAAAGAAAATTAATACTTTCTAAAAACTTTCAAATATATATATATATATATATATATATATAAACTATTGAAAAATTTCCCAGTTCATTAAACATTATAATTTGTTAAATAAACTAAGTAATAACTAATGATTGTTTAAATTAAAATTTTATTGGTGTGTTTTTTTTAATAAAGAAAATAACAATTCTCTGGAGAAAATTTTCACTTTAATTTGCCCCATTTACTCAACAACAAAATAGGATATTTTCTTGCATGATATATATATATATATATATATATATATATATATATATATATATATATATATATATATATATATATATATATATATATATATATTATACATCATGAAATTCGCAAACAATAAACAATACGAGTTATGCTTTTATTGTAATAAGAAAAAGAATATTTTTCATCTAAGAGGTAAATAGAAAGATATCAAAAAACAAACAAACAGATTATGAAAACTGATGTTAAAACAGTAAGAATAATAATAATAATAACAAAAATAATACTGTCAGACTGATGTTTGTACAAATCACAAGTCTATATATATAAATGAACACTTAAGACAATGATGTCATAATTTTGACATGAACTCTGGTTATTTTCAAAGATTATTATTTGAATTGATTAATGAGCTCTCCGTTTTTAAAGAACAATGAGTGATGTGTTTTTTTTGGATGATACTAATAATAATAATTATTATTATTATTATAAAAATAATACGAATAAATAGACTTATATTAACATGTTTGCATACATTGAATGACCTTTATTCCGTAAAGAAATTAAAACAAATTTCATTCTTGATTTCATTAGGCCACAGTAGTGATTTCTAACAATTATTATGCAATGATAATGAGAGGATTAGCAATTAATGTTGATAATCAGATAATAAAATTCATGTGTAACCTACAGAGATACTTATTCTTCAATTGTACAAATCTCTTTAAGCCATGTTCTTATGCCAAAGAATTGTGCTTCCATATCCGAAAGGGAGCCTCGAGTCATTATTATGATCTTCATGAGTAATGGTCACTTATTTATACTTTAAATCAGTTTTACCTGATCAAGACACAATTACGGTCTGACTCTGTACATTACTAGTACTATACTAAGATTTATTTTAAGTCGACCGATGAATATTAAGTTAAATGAAAGGCACAGAATAGATATTATAATTAACCACTGTTAATTATTGAATAAAAATCTTATTTCCGTTAAGACAGGGTAAATTTGTTTTGTTAATAACGATAACAGATAATGTTATCCTCATTAATTGTCAGTGTAATAGAATACAAATCAAGTGAGTTCTATCTAAATCACTGGGTATAAATAATTTTAGGTTAGTGTGGTATATCTGTTTCTAGTTTTATGCGAACTATATTGTTAGTTGTCTAATTTCAAAGAAATTTAAATGAAAAATATCACATCAGAGAAATAAAGTCTTCTTAAGAAAGTTAATCTATAAAGGATGTCTATTAGTTGTAGTAAATACATAATTAAGGCATGTGTTTATTATGATGGCTACATAGGATGAGGTAATTCGAGATTTTTCGGTGAGTATAATCTCTCTGAAGTTTTAAAGATAATTCAGACTGATGAGTACCAACGAGTACAGGCTTCAGATGAATGTCACGAACCACTTGAAATCAAACAATTATGATGAAGTTACATTACAAGTTGATCGATACAACTCGATTAGGACTGCAGAACAAATAACATATTATAAGTCATTATTTAATAGTTAACTGGTCTAGTTACTCAACTAGTTTGATTTGGATTTCAAGTTCTTTTTTTAGAGATGTAGTAGAAATTTTATAGACACAAAACATTGACTACAGCGTTATTCACCTTCAGTTTGAGTTTAGAATGTCGCGTATTTCCAAACGATTAAAACTACACATTTCTCGAAGTAAATTATTAAGTTTTAAGGAAGCTCATTAATCACATTACAAAATATTCCGTTGTCCTATTTTTGTTTACTTTTCTATACTCGTAATGTTTTTGAAAATGGCTATAGCCAGTATAGTTATTCTTGCAAATATCCAGAAGAGCTTTTAATGAACTGAATCATAAAAATGATTATTTATACATTTTATTTCGGAATAATACCCTTCTGCGATGGATTTTTTTTTTTTATATTAAATAATTTAACTTTTAATTTGTTTCTTTTTTACATATACTACTTATATTATTTATTATTAGGAAGAAGACTCTTAGTAAGAATATTTGACAGTTATAGCTTTGTGTTTGAGTATGATTTATACACTGAACCTTTTCATAACTCTCTCTGTCTCTCTTACCCTAAGTATACGTTTTCTTCATTTGAAACCTTACTTTTTAAAAAAATTCATAATCTCCGCAGTGGAGAGACTATTACTGTGAAACACTTTCATTTGGCTTTTTATAACTTTTATGGGTTTTTTTTGTAAAAAAACAATTTGTCATAGAAAGCTATAAATTCAAAACACAGTTATAATGAAAATGTCTACTAATTAAAAGGATAACTACTATCTTCTTATTGAGCAATAAACAAAATAACTTGTTTAAATAATATTAGATCAGTTGAATTTCGTTTTGCCGATAATGCACCATTATTATATATCATAGTAATATTTAAGTGGTATTGTGTTCATTCAACTGATTATTTTTTTAAAAGAACATATTAAACTAAGGCTTTCTGCTTAAATGTTTTCAATAAACATTGAACATTGAACTATGTTATGCTTCTGGATGAATTTTAAAGTTGAAATTTATGAGAATGAAAAACAAAAACTGACTTCACTTTAATTGAAGAATAAATTTTATGGAATTAGGATGATTTTAATATTTGATGCATCATGTCTAGGAAATTACTAAATTTAAGAATAAACTGGTCATATTTAGTTAAAGTCTTCTTTAATTGGTTCGTTTTAAATAATCCCATAAATACATTGGAATTCGAAACCATAGAATAAATTGAAAAGAAATGTTTGTAGGATTCATATTTACCTGTAGCGTCTTGTAAATTAGTCTTGATTATTGCTAATAACTTATATTATTTTTAAATGTTTCACTGTATTCTATCTAGTTCATCGTCAAACACAATGTCTCAGTTCGAATAAGTTATAGCTATGTGATTTAGAGTGTAGACTGAATTTAATGTTATCTCGATTTGAGAAATGGTATTCATGTCAAGATAAAGATAAAGGTTAACCAACCCTCAGGCCAAATGATCTATAAGAAAACTGACAGATATTTATCAAAATACCAAATTCATTTTGATTGAATGTATAATTTGTAAAGTGAGTGATTGTCAAATAATTATTTTATTGTTTTCAAAACTTGTATTATTTTTATGAATTCGACAGTAAAATTACCATAAACACATTGAACTATATTCAATAAAAGAAAGAAATCTTGATACATTTTTGAAATGGATCATTTTCCTTAGGAAATTTCTTCAAATGAATGTGGTTGATAAATTTTTGTGTTGCACTCAATAATGTATAGAACCGAAATTTACATTGACTGATATCCTTCTTTGGTATGACGATTAAAGAAGGTCGCTTTATATACTCAGTTTGATATTATCAAATGATGAGATGGGGTTAATATTTTACTTTTGTTGAAGCTGGCTTAAATGGAATGGAAAACTCTTTCTAGTTCAGTTTTACCCAGTAAATACCTCGTACACTAATAAACATATATCTATACGGATGAGCTGGGTGCATGCTGATTAGATTTTAACGACGAATCTTTCTAACGATTACAGCAAGCACTTAGGAACCTTGTATGAGTTACAATTAAATCAGACACAAACATGATATTGCATAGTAATTAACATTTAAAGCTTTAATTTATATTTATCTTGCTTCTGATACAGTTTCAAAGTTCAAAGACGTCTGATTTTTCCTGTTAAAGTCTAATAATGTAGATGGTTACTACTTTATGAATGTTTTCAAGTACCATAATACACAGTTTATTAAAACGAGAAACTACACCAACTTCAAGTTCGCTTTCTTACAGTTTTCGTCCAACAACCTAACAGCTATCCTAAATATTAGGCTCTGATTACTAAACTACCAGTATTAAAAACCGAACTGTTTTGTAGAATGGAAAAATGAAATATATATAAATATTTTCCCACAAATTAACTTATTTTAATTAATAACTTACTCGAACACGACTCTCAGACAATTCTGTCCATGTAGCTATTTCTTCACGTAAATTCATGTCAGGATAACGATTTCTAGCAAATGTTGCTTCCAATTCTTGTAATTGTTGACTAGTAAAATGTGTTCTCTGACGTCGTTGACGTTTAACAGTGGTGTATTGTGGACGACATGAATATTTTTTATTTGTTAGAGAATTATTGATATTTGAATCACAAATTTCTAAATTTGATTTCATAGGATGATTGAAATGTTTTACTAATAGTTGATGTTTTGATTTCAATAAATTGTTCGACATTTTCTCATCATGATTCGAATGAATTGAATGTAGAGCGGGAGAGGCTGTTGAAGATGAAGTTACAATGAGAGGATTGATGAAATTGTTAGAAGTAAACACATTATGATTGTTATTATAACCAAAAGTGTTCAAATTATTGTGATTATCATGTTTACTGATAGGATTATTATTACTGTTATTATTGTCAATCATGTCATGATGTTCGATTTCTTTTTTAACATTGAACGATTTAACATTTCGTTCAATTAATTCATTTTGATAATTAGATGGTAGCGCCTTTTTCATATTATTATTATTATTATTACTGTTTAATTTCATCGGTGTTAATTGCGCATTCATAGTGATTGCATAAGGTGTACTGAATTTCTCGAAATCATGCTTCAATGAATTTTTATACAGTGGATAAACTTGATCTAGATTTGAATAATTTCCAAATTCATAATCATTGATGAATTCGTTTTTAGGGATTTTTTGTAATTTACACACATCACTTGTATTTTGATTATTATTATTATTATTAGTGATATTCATAACACTCGTAGTATTGATCGAATGTAAAGTAGGAATCGACATAGTGGAACCTGATGAATGTGGAATGTACATTGAATTGAATATCTGAAAAGTTAAAAGTTAGAAAAGAAATAAAACATTTTGATAGATTTTATTATTGATAAAAAAAATTGGTTAACTTGTACGAAAATCTTCTTCATGACAATTTAATATTTCTTTCATAAGTGGACATTTCTTTGGACAAGAATCATCGTTTAATTGATAAAAGCGTTTCGCAAAAGTTTCATTTGATTCAAAGATAATTTCTGTAGCAAACAAATATCAACTAGAGAGTTGTTACAGAGTTTTTTTTAAAAAAAAAACAGTGACAGTTGTTTTGTTTGTATGAAGATTATTGTGTTCAATCAATATACCGTGTTATTCACTGAGGAGTTGACAGGCATCCAATGTTTCTCTATCTCTAATGATCGTACTCCGGAGGGCAACTGTTTTTATTGACCACTGGATTCGAATACCAGGGTCTTTTGAAAAGAACTCTTATTTAATGACTTATGATATTGTGTTAATATAATGCTCGAATAGCTGATTTGGTTATGGATCAAAACATACTACTTAATATTATATATACAATATGGTTGAGATTTGTAATTTCTGCATTTGTGTCAATAATTAAACATTTCTATATATGAAAAATATGAATTACTGTACAATATTTATCAATGAAACCATTGTACAAATGCAAACTATACTGCTCATGTTAAATGAATACATATGAATTCCGATCGAATGCCAACGATTTATGGTTGATCATTGAAAATGATTCCTACTTTGTCAAACTGTATTCACTTGATCGTACAGAAATTGAAACTAGAATTATTTTTGTCAGTGTTATTTTTAAAATAAGGTTGTTTTAATGTGGATTTTTAGATCTTTTTTTCCTTCAAAAACTGATTATCGCATTATTTCCTTTTGAAGGATGAGTAAATCAAAATTTTAAATTAATATCAGATGTAGCTATTATTGTACTTACGATTACATTATAGCACATGTCAAATCATTATTTTTATTGCCACTACGTTTTGGAAGAGATACAAAAAAACGGGATGAGAATACAACAGGATAATAGATTATTAAAATCCTCAAGATCTATTTGTTTGCAGTAATATGTAATCATGTTCATATTTTTTGTTATTTCTCGATAGACAGAAAAGAAATGAACACTTATTCGAAGTTTTGATCTATACTTTGGACCGATACTTTTTCCTTAAGACAATATGAAAATTCGATTTAACATGCTGGCTCACATAACAAATACCAACTAAAGAATGATACAAATATAGGAAATAAGAAATAATAAATGTAATGGTTTGGTAGTAAAATTATGGGAATATAATATTTAATACTGATGTGTGTCATTCTTTCCGTATTTTGTATAATATTACTATTTAGAAGTGTCATTTTTGTCATACAAATTTATTTCCAAAGTTCAAATCACGAATCGATCTTAGTAAGATCAGCATCGAAAATCTAAAAGAATTGAAAGCTGGTTTGGTTCTAGTATGGGGCTTCTTAGCAGTGCGCACTTACAACTCTGTGTCCGACCACGCAACTCAGGACCTTCAGTATTGCTCAACTTCTAGTAGAGTGAGATGGCATCCATTAGTGCTGATAACTTACTTCAATCAATTCGTGATATTGCATAACCATTGTCTACAGTGTATATCTTTTTCAGTTTTGTGGATGAGCACTTCCGGGTAGTTCCGCATTAGAACGGAACAGCCTTCTAGTATCTCTAGGCTTTCAATGGTGATCTAACTATAACCGTTTTCTGATTTAAACCATGAAAATTTCACAGTCTGCATAAGTCCATCATACGGAAATATTTCCGTCCAATTGTTTACGATCAGTTATAAAAACGTAATTAAGTGGTCTCATTGAAATAGTTTTGATCAAGGACTGATGAAAACTGGTGCGATTTTTCAAACTCAGTACTGTCATATGGTGTTGAAAATCATCTTCATACTCCTTAAAAATTTGAAATGATGATGAATCGATCCGAATAAAAAGATCGTAGACAATGCAATATTTATACTCAAAAATATATGTATTGGTACTTTCTTGGACACTACCTGAGAAAGGTATCAACATCATACGGAGTTCCTAAAATACATTGAACTAAAATATCATACGTGGAGAGCAGCATATAGATGAATTCCAAATTAAAACCAGTGTTAGACAAAGTTGCTCGCTCGCACCCTTTCTATTTCACGTAGTGGCTGACTGGAATATGAAGACCTCCATATCATCACGACCTTCAAATCTAATTGATCTCATTGATTCGTTAAACTAACATGTTATTTCTTTTAAGCCTAGAAATATACAGAGATTACAGAGGATTCGTACACTTGAACTCTGTTTTCTTTTTTTCTTTTTTTACTTAAAACAAGGTCTAAAGAGTAATCCAAAAAAATATTATTTATGAAAGATGGGATCTAAATCCTTAGCATATATATATGCTTACTTGCAAAAATGCCATTATCGATCATTTAAATAATGAAATCGAACACAAGTAATTATACTTACCATAAACTTATTTCAGGATAACAGTAATCATGAAAGATTACCATCATATTACATATTAACATTATTGTTATTAGATAAATGTAAATCAAATGAGATTATACAAAGACTTACTAGTAAACTGCTCAATGAATTAGGCTGCGTTATTTTTCTTTGTATTATTGATGTTATGATAACTTTTTTTTGTAGATTAAGAAGGATAAAAGAAAGAAAATCCGTTTTTTTTATTTGAAGTTGTTTATGTGGTCAATTTTTTTTTGTAAATTAAAGAATGATAACAGGTGCCCAAGGATCAGCAGATACAATCAATGAAATTGCTAGAGAGTGGGTGAAATGTAGGATATGAGTAACAAAATGTACAAATGATCGCAGAGAAAAAAAAAGTAGGCTTAATTCATGTAAAAGCCTATGTGATTTTCTGTCAAAATTCACAAGATTGAAGCTTTAACTGGATTTTGGCGACGTGAAAGATCTTATAGTTGTATAAATCCTTAGGTTTTAAGTTGGCTTAATTGAACTACTGATCAGTATTACAAGCTAATCAAGTAATGTAATGTAATGATATGTATGTCAACTATTTAAGCTTATTCAAAAAGATAGTGGATTCTGAGGATTGAAACTATCTAATCTGCATATAAGAAGTAATCTTGTTCGTGGCTGAGTTTTAAAATTTAGGTGTCTGTTTGACACACACACACACACTCTCTCTCCTTCGTTCTGTCTCTTTCTAATACATATACCCAACCACCCCATATTACTTCTTCCTTCTCAAGCGAATAAATCTTTAGGAAAAATTTTATTTTTAAAAAAATTGGAGAAAATGAGAGTTTCAGGTCATGTGTATTCAAATCAAGTAAATTCTTTTAAGCCAGTAGATTTTTCCTAAATCCTTTAAACCACTAAGCTTTAAGAATTTTGATTAAATTTCAAAAATTAAAGTAGATGATGTCGGGCATTTGAATTCTAGTCGCAATCGCCCTAGAACCCATAAATGCACATACACCACATACTTACAAGACGGGAAAGCAAACTGAATGTATTTTTATCTATAATGTGAATAAATTTTCAAATATCTAAACAATGTGTCAAAGATTCTGGGGATAGACAATATTAAATCTTATGATTTGACCAATCAGATGTTTAGTTGCCCAATGAAAATAAGCATAGAAAGGGTGAGAAAAATTGATGTACCGTTTCAATAATCTTTCTTCATTTTGAATTTTAACGGAGAATAATCAATCCTCAGCAAGTTTTGTGCAAATTTCGAAAGGATACAAAATGACAAAAGAATTTTTTTTTGTTTTGGAAAAGAGAAAACTATGCTATAACTAACAAACAGAAAAGAAGTATTTTATAAAAACATAACATCGAATTTAGCTGCCAAGTGATACATTTGTAATTCTGATAAGATTATCAAAGTATTAACGATGGTGTTTATGAAATTTTAGTATTAGTAAACATGTGATTGATCTGTGTCAGGCAATATCATTTGTAAAGCTTATCCCATTCAAACGAGTGACTCTGGTCTAACAATGATTGATTGATGATTTCAATTGTGTAAAACCACAAATCTTCAAAGCTCTAACTGAAAATATCGTAACAGTGCTCACTAGTGACTAGCTTTGTGAGGAAATTCTCGAAGTTCTAGTGAGAAGACGTGACCAGTGGAGTTCAACCCTGTCGGGTGTAGGCAGTAACTAACAAAGAAAAATAGGTGAGGTCGCGCAAAATCCCTAGATCAATCAGAGTTAGATATTAAAGCCGTTGGATGCCGACCCAGTAGTCCGATGGTTAGGCGTTCGCGCACAATCCCAAAGGTCCCGGGTTCGAATCCTGCGTAGTGCAGGAGTCGTGGGTGCGCACTGCTGAGGAGTCCCATACCAGGACGAAACGGCCGTCTTTCAGTGCTTCCAGGTTTCTAATGGTGGTCTAGTAACAATAATTGATTGATGATTTCAATTGTGTAAAACCTCCAAAACTCTGCCTGAAAATATCATTTGTAAAGTTTATCAGGTATATATATTACACATTCAAACAAATGACTTTCTATCATATTAGTATAAGCTTTCGTTTTTTATTGTTATCTTCACTGTATGTCTAACCCTATTGAATTGTTAAATAAGGATATAAATCTCTGTTATCTGACAACTGACCACCGAGAATGAGTCTGTATTCTAGAAGAATGATTGTATTGAACAAGTTCTACATCATTAAACACTGTATATATATATATATATATATATATATATATATATATATATATATGAGGTTTTTTGTCATTTAAATTTAGTCATTTGGAATAAATGTCAATATGACACTTCAATGGAAAGCTATAACCATCATTACAAAGGACGAACTATTTGTAATTTCAATACTAAAGTAAGATTACTGATTAATGCTCATTATTTCGATCAGATGTTTTTCGATATGATATAATATACTCAACATCTGCTGGTGGGGACTTATGTCGATTGGACATTCGGGTATGAAATTAATGTTTTGTGTCTGCACCG